GCTGTGCCACTGAACATGAGAAGTTGCTCAACGGGTTTTCAGATGAAGTGGTCAAGCTTGTTCAGGAAGTTCTTCTCACGGGTTCGAACTGCATTGGAGAGACAATTTAAGCAGCATGGCTGGAAACCTTTAGGCAAAATAACTGAACCGTTTTCAAACGGGGAAGTTGGTATTGAAAGGGCAGCGGATCTTTTTAGTTTTATGAGATGGCTTGCGTGTTTTTTATTCTTCTCATGCTATCCCTCTGCCCCTTACCGGAGAAAAATCATGGCAATGGAACTCATACAGATTATGCTCAATGTATGGTCTATCAGACCTTCGCAGGACGACTCTGGGAGCTGCCTGCATCCCTACAGTAATTCCATCACTTCACCTGATTCAACCTTGTTGCTGGTTGGATCTGTTATAGATAGTTGGGATAGGCTCAGAGAGAGTTCTTTTCGTATTTTGCTTCATTTCCCTACCCCGCTTCCTGGCGTCGAGTCTGCTGAAATGGTCAAGAAAGTAATCATTTGGGCTCAGAGATTAGTTTGCAGTCCACGGGTGAGAGAAAGTGATGCAGGTGCACTAACTTTAAGGCTCATATTTCAGAAGTATGTAACAGAGCTAGGATGGACTGTTAGAGCTTCTGTTAATGTCGTATGTTTTGAGAGATCATCATATCATCAAGTATCCAATGGGGCTGGTGGCCAGATGGTTCAACCTTCAACTCCTGTTGTGGAGTACATTAAATCTTTGATTGATTGGTTGGATGCTGCAGTGGAAGAAGGGGAGAAAGATCTCCATGAAGCTTGTAAGAGCAGCTTTGTTCACGGGGTGTTGCTTGCATTGAGGTATACATTTGAGGAACTGGATTGGAATTCTGAGGCAGTCATGTCTAGCAGCTTAGACATGAGATCTGCATTAGAGAAACTCTTGGATCTGGTTATGAGAATCACAAACTTGGCACTTGGTGTGGTTTCTGCTGATGCCTGGTATATGCCTGAGATGGATGAGATGGATGATGAAGATTCTTACTTGGTAGGTGAGATGGATGTTTTGGAACTCTCATCTGAGCAAGGTGGCATTGATTCAAAACTTGAGCATGGCAACAGGATGTCCGAACAGATTGTCATGGTTGGTTGCTGGTTGGCTATGAAAGAGGTACATTTCTTATACTTTTTCATTCTATTTACTCTTGCTGGTTGGCTATGAAAGAGGTACAATTCTTATACTTTTTCATTCTAATTACTCTGGCTGGTCTGGCATGGGTACTTGGAGTCAATTTATCTGTAAGTAATTTTTCCTTTTCTGTAATGGTTTCAGGTGAGTCTTCTTCTTGGAACTGTCATGCGAAAAATTCCTTTACCAACAAACAGTTGTTCAGATCCACTGGAGCAGCTACCCAAAATTTCAGATGCTGCTAACCTTGAAACAACATCCAATGCTGTGCTTGATATGGAACGGCTTGAGCAAATTGGAAGGCACTTCTTGGAAGTACTTCTTAAGATGAAGCATAATGGAGCAATTGATAAGACGAGGGCTGGATTTACTGCTCTTTGCAACCGTCTGCTTTGTTCTAATGATCCAGAGTAAGTTTTTCTTTTTTCCCTTTTCTTCCGGCAGTGTATAGATCCTATTTCCAGAATCCAAAGGGACTTTTCTTTCAGCAGAGAAAAGCAACAACAGTTTTAGACCCTGATTCAGATTGAATAAGCTCAATTGGAGTTTTTTTTTTTTTTTTTTTGTAGTTTATAATATACTTTTTTGGCTTGTCCGTGAAACGGGAGACTAATTTATATAGCAACTTCATTCATGTATATGATGCTGATATCTCTTTTGTGTCTTCTAGACTATGCAAGTTGACAGAGTCGTGGATGGAACAACTTATGGAAAGAACTGTGGTAAAGGGACAAACTGTGGATGATTTGTTGAGGAGAAGCGCCGGCATCCCGGCAGCATTTATTGCTCTGTTTCTTTCAGAACCAGAAGGTTCACCCAAAAAGCTTCTCCCACGAGCTCTACGATGGCTAATTGATTTGGCTAATGGCTCTTTGCTTAGACTGAATAATGCCACTTCCTCAGCAAAATCAGATCAAGTCCCCGATTCCGAACAGCAGCAGTACGAGACTTGTGAGATGCAGAAGGCCTCAAAAATACGAGATGAGGGTGTAGTTCCAACTGTACATGCCTTTAATGTTCTTAGAGCTGCTTTCAACGATGCAAATTTGGCTACTGATACATCCGGGTTCGCTGCAGAGGCTATAATTATCTCAATTAGCTCTTTTTCTTCCCCATACTGGGAGGTAAGGAACGCAGCTTGTTTGGCATATACTGCACTAGTACGGCGTATGGTTGGGTTCTTAAACGTTCTGAAAAGGGATTCTGCACGTCGTGCCTTAACTGGCCTCGAGTTTTTCCATCGGTATGGTTTCTCGGTCTTGACTGATTAGGATTCTTTGGCTTGCCCCTTTCAGTTTTTTCTCATTGTGTTACCTGAAAGAGAAGTCTCTGATTATATTTGGTTGGCTTAGGTACCCTTTACTACACTCATTTCTTCTCAAGGAACTGAAAGTTGCAACTGATCTGCTTGAAGATGCAAAACCTGGGCATTCGGGATCCAACCTAGCAAAAGTTGTCCATCCCAGTTTATGTCCAATGTTGATTCTTCTATCCAGGCTCAAGCCCTCAACTATTTCTAGTGAGAAGGGAGACAATCTGGATCCCTTCTTGTTTATGCCATTCATCAGGAAATGCTCTACCCAAAGCAATCTACGAGTCCGTGTTCTTGCTGCTAAAGCCTTAACGGGGCTAGTATCCAATGAGAGACTGCCACATGTCCTCTTGACCATCGCCTCCGAACTACCTCACTCCAACAGTCCAGTCAAGAAAGCTACCTCGGCTTCTTTCAACTCAACACATGGGATGTTATTGCAGCTCAGTTGTCTTCTTGATGTTAATTGCAGAAACCTGGCTGATTTCGGGAAGAAAGATCAGATTCTCCACGATTTGGTCCAGATTCTAGTGCAATGCTCTTGGATATGTTCCCCCAAAAGCTGCCCGTGCCCTATCTTAAATACATCCTTTCTACAGGTGGTGGATCACATGCTCAGTATCAATGATAATCTTCTTAATATTCGCCAGCTGCTTTTGGAACTCTCTACAGGATGCTTAGATGCTGAAGATTCTTATAAAATGGTTTCTTATGATCCCACGGTAGCTGAGCTTCGGGAACAAGCTACGCACTCTTATTTCAGTTGCTTCCTTCAGAGGCCTAAAGTTGAAACTGAAGCCTTTGTTGGACTCCAAGAGAGGCTGACGCTTTCCTTGAAAGATTCATCATATGAAGTTCGACTGGTGACACTGAAATGGCTGCTTAAGTTCCTGAAGCATGATTTTCTCCCTGGAGAGATGGCAAAAACTATTGAAGAATGGACTAGATCAAGCCTTCAGAAAACCATGATGAGCCTCTTGGACTCGGAGAAGAATCGTCGGTGTGTATACTACATTCTCAGGGTTATTTTCACCTGGAACATGCTACTGTTTGAGAAGACTGGTGATAACCGAGATCTTGATGGCACTGATTATGTCTGCCAATTGGATCTTTGCCAAATATCCCAGTTTTGGGATAAGTTGCAGTCATTATACAAGGTCACAAGACATTTAAAGACCAAGGAGAAACTCATCTGTTGCATGGCCATATGCATGAAGCAGTTCGCAGCCCTATTCATCAGCTCTCCTCTTTCTTCCACTGAATCAAATCAACTGGAGACCCCAATATATTTGATTCGATCCATCACCTTTTTTGTTGACTTGATCAAATGCCATAGCTCCTCATCTGAACCAGTAAACATGCGCATGGCAGTTGCTGAAGCTATTACGGCATCGAGTTTGCTCGGGCAAGCAGAACTCCTCGGTTCTTCTGTATTCAACTCTGATCCGCCATATAATGCTTCTTCCTCAAAAGGTTTGCCAAACTTATATGCTTCTCAAGTTCTCGAGATATGGTTCACTAGCATCAAGTTGATGGAGGATGAAGATGACGGAATTAGACAGGAAGTCGCACAAAATGTTCAGAAACATTTTCACCATCGTCGGGAAGTCAGTGGTGTTCCAACCCAAGTGGAAAGAGTGATCGAGCTCAGCTTTTCCCATCTTTCGTCCATCTTCGGCCACTGGATTCCTTACTTCACTTACCTCTTACAGTGGGTACTGGACATAGCAGCAACAACCTCTTTTGTTTCTTCTTCCGGTGGTGATGATCTCGTGAGACGAGTTTTTGACAAGGAGATTGATAACCACCATGAAGAGAAGTTGTTGATATGCCAGATCTGTTGCTCCCATCTTGAGAAGCTTCCTCTTCCAGCTATCGACCTGTATTTGTGGAGGATGAAATTTGCTAACCAGCTGAAGTTATTTGCCGAAAACTTTGTTGGAAAACTTGGAGGAGTTGAGTGGATAGGTGGTTTGGGTAACCACAAGGATGCTTTTCTGCCTGTGTATGGGAATTTGCTTGGGTTTCACGCCATCTCATACTGCATCTTGAATGGGGAATTCGAGGATGGAATAGGTATCTTATCTGATGTTGTTGAACTCGGGAAAAGTATTGAATGCTTCTTCAGTAATCCATTGATCCTTAATCTGTTTTCGCTGGTACTGAGATCGCACGAGAAGAATGCTGGTGTCTCTGCTGCACACCAGTTTGGCTGTGAGTTGGTAGATGATGATGCTGCTGCACTTTACGATGGGTTTAATCCATATTATCTTCTTAGATGAAGGAACTTGCAATCTTTCGAGCTGGTTTTGTCATAGTGTAGAATAGTATACGAAATTCTAACGTAGGATTGCTAAATCTGTACTTGTACCAGCAATGTTGAAAGCTGTAATGGCTTGTTAACAGCCCTTGTATAAGATTGTTCCGATGCTGCAATTATGGTCCAGTTATCTGTAGACGTATTTGGGTCGATTATGGGTTGAAATTAGGAGTTGAACCCAACAACATTTTGACATGGCTTGTACGGGCAAAACTTGATATAGAAATAAAGCATGACGGTCGCTATTGTAATGATCCAGCATACAAGGGTTCCAAATATACGCAAACTGCTGTAGCTTCACAAAGCAACTACTCTACTGAACTTCCAGCATTTCCTAAATCCTAACTCATAATGCTTCTCCAGAGTCTGTAAAGAAAGCTAATGCTCAACTAAATGAACTAACTGGTGGGAGCTTAAAGCTCCACTACTCTTCCTTGACGCCATCTTCGCCTGCATCATCTTCCTCGTCACCATCATCACCACTTTCCTGTATATTTCGAAAGACAAAAACTTAGACAACTGCTACTACAGCAAACTATTATCTTGCTGAGCTTTCATGCTACAATGAAAAGTGCAGTTTACCTCCTCATCTTCATCAGAATCCTCTTCATCAGCGTCCTATATGGGCAAGGCATAAAAGAGAGCATAAGCAAATAAAATTCTCATTGACCGAGCTATCAATACTAAACTCATTTTCACTCGCCAACAGAAAGAAACAACACAATAGCAAAGAGGAACGTGCAGTATAAAAACGATTACCATGTTGAAGTACTTCAGGGGATTCGGCCACAGATCCTCCTTGATTATCTCCGACACCTGATACATTGACGAGTGAAGTCCATATAAGAACACGCTGAATTAAAAATGTAGAATCTAGTTTTACGGAACACGATTCCTCACATCATCCTGAAGTTCGGAGATGTCCTGCTCAGTTTCACCAAACCAACCGAAAAAGCTGCAAACAAAAAAATAATCGGTCAACATCAATTCTCATTGACAAACATCATTCAGTGAGTTGTACATAAGAAACTACGGACAGTAGTTAAAAAGATACAATAAACAACCTCGTCTCAGTCCAAGGTCGCTTGTTTCCCTTCTTTTTCTCATCATCAACTCCATTTTTGGCAGGGTCCTTCACAAGAAAAAGCTCAGAATCGAAAGCCAAAACATGGAGTGAACTCTTAGAACATTCTAATGGGAAAGTAGTTGCAGCCTTACCCTGCCTTCCTTCCACTTGATGTCTGTACCAGTTATCTTAGTTGTGCCATCATCCGAGAAATTGAAGGTTTTTGTCAGCTTTGTGTCATGGAAATAAGGATTCTCCTTAAAATTCTGAAACGGCAGAGAAACAATAGAGAATAATAAGCTTATCGCCTAATAATGAGATCTCCTAAAAGTTGGGGGGGGGAACCCACAAGCAGTATAAAGCAATGAGCAGCAACATATAAAACCAATCAGACTAGAGTCAGAATATTCAACATACAAATGTGATGGAGTAGCCAGTTTTCAGATCCTTGAAATCAGCAACATCAAGGGACTCCACATACTTTAAGATCTGCACATTTGGAATTCAAGCTTAACCCCTCCACTTAATAATACCATAGCAGCAATCAGTATCAATAATAATAAACTAGCACATTTGGATATCTAACCTCATGGTCGTCGTCACCAGTCAGGAGATCACCAAGAGCAGGATGACTCATGAACTGTGCCATATACCCGATCCAAAAGCAAAAGTAAGATACCAATTCGCTATTGATCAAGTTGGGAAACCAGAAATTCTATTGGCAATAAGGAATCCATCACACTTACAGCCGTCAACCAGAAGTCAGGCATAGTCTTGATGAGCTCATTCCTCTTGAGGTAGACGGGTCTGCGAACTTCGTTATACTTCTGTTCAATTGCCAATACTTCGTCACTCTCTTCTTCATGGATCTGTCCAAGTTACAAAGTGAAAAAGCACCAAGCTTTCATAAGTCAAAACAATTGGCAACTGTTCTTTTTCTCAAAGACAACACTCCACCTTTCAAGCAAAATACAAAAGGGCTGGCCTTTTAGGGTTATCTCCTAAAGATTACACCTTTCAAACGAGAAGCGTCAACAAACAAGAACAGCAAATGGGAGTCTACTCTACTCTTCACACACAACAGCAGGCACACAGAAGGAACTGAAAAGAGACTCGGACTTGGAAAAGGGAGGGATGAGAGAAGGGGAAAGAGAGAAACCTTGTCGAGCTCATCCTGGACGTCTTTTAACTTCTCGAGTGAGAGTTGAAGCTCCGCATCAATCTGGTCAGCAGGAGGGTGTTGCTGCTCTTCATTGAGCTTGGATTTCTTTCCGTTGCCGGCCACCATTGTTGTCCAAGAAAGCCCGGTAAAGGGAAGACTGTAAGGAAATGGGGTTTTGGCTGGGTAAGGGTTTTGTGCTGGCTGGTGGTGGGGTAGACCGTAGAGGAGAAGATACGAGGAAAACAATTTATATACCCTCAGGTAGGGGTGGGCAATGAGCGGGTTGGGTGGGTTTTGGTCTCAAATTGACCCACCCGCTTACTAGCGGGTTGAAATATTTGTGACCCGCAATCCACCCACATACTTCTGCGAGTTGGGTTGGGTGGGTGGCGGATGGGTGCGGTTGGGTCGCGGGTCAACCCGCAAAAACAATTCTCCATCTAGCCATTAAGAAAGTTGATTAACATTTATAATAAGTTAATAGCAAATTAGTAAGACTATATCAATAATTTGTGATTTTGATACAATTAATAATTTATAGTTTGCATCTCAATTTAATGGTAACAATAATCTGCATAGCAATATCCAATATCTAATGGATATTGCACAACACAATGACCAATAGTAGTGGTCAAAATTATTATTTATTCTCCACCTTTTGAAGTATATGGTAAGACTGTAGTGCAGTTCGAAAATATGATGAATATTCTATACTATAAGAAACCACATTTTTCATGTAAAAATAGGATGCGGGTCATATGGGTGACCCGCAATCCACCCACCACCCACCCACATAAGTGCGGGTGGGGGATTTACCAATCCGCAATCCACCCACATCAATCACCCACTACATGCGAGTCGGGTTAGTTGCGGGTGAATTGATATCAATCCGCGGATTAACCACCCACGTGCCCACCCCTACCCTCAGGCCTCAAGGAGGCAAAGGGTTTTTCTTTCCACGAGTCGAGTGATTGGCGGGGTTTGAGAATCTCATGCTCTAATTACTTTAGTTGCCCTAGTTACTAGTTAGCATTACAACTTTACAAGGTGTACGAAACGTTTTTAACCACATGTAATGTAAAGAAAAGATAGATAATTTTATTCGTTAATCACAGTTTGTCATGATGTGGTTTAAACAAAATTTGCTTGATGAGTAGTCATTGGTAAGAGGGGACAGAACTTGTGATAAACAAAAATATTAAGGGTAGATTTAGGAATTGAAGGTGAGAAGTAGAGAGATTTAGAGATTCTTGTCGAAGCGAAAGACGAAATTTAGAGATCTAAAGAAGGAACCGAGAGAAAAGGGGGAAGAGGTCGGAGTAGGGATGGCAATGGGTAGGGTCGGGTGCGGGTTTACCCTATACCAACTCCTAACCAGCCGGGTAGAGCTTTCTAAAATACCCGACCAAATAACCACCGGGTATGAAAATTATATAATCATACCCTACCCACCGGGTAACCACGGGTATTCGGATAACCATGGGTACGAATCCTAAACTATGAACTTATACACATATATGCACATACATACTGTTGTTCATTAAAAATTCTCGATATTTGTAACTGTTCTAGCTTTAACAATCCACACAAATAAAAACAGCAAACACATAATAATAGTTCTTGCTTCTACAATCCACACAAACATAATAATCGTCTACATCTTCATCATCAATAATGGTTGTTAAACTCAATTTCTCAAGCTAAACTAAATTTCTCAAAGGAAATTGACCCTTTCATTAGGCGGGGCGGGTATAACGGGGCGGGTATTATCGATTACCATACCCGTACCCTACCCTTTATTTTGAAACCGGGTATTACCCATACCCGCCCCTTAACCCGTCAAAGCGGATAATTACCCTCGTTGACCGGTTATGGTCGGGTAGGGTACCCATGGTTACGGGTTTGATTGACATCTCTAGGTCGGAGACCTAACTAGAAAGGAAAGAGAATTGTGATTTTTGTTTTTTAATGGTTGTTGACCACAACGTTCGAATTTATAATGTGGTGGATGTTCTGATTCTCAATTTATCATTATGTCAACCCTAAAATTTGAACTAAATTTTTTGAAGAACAACAACTTAATTTCATTTATTTTGAATTATGAAATAAAAAGCCATAGCACATATTTATAAAAAAAAACCATAAGACATTAAAATAAATAAACCTAAGCTACTCGACCCCTTATTGGCCGCCAATCCCCTCCCTCAAATTGTTCCACAACGAGTAACAAACATTGGAGGGAAGATTGACAGATGTAGGAAAGTGAAAATCCTTTATAAGTCTCCAAGCAAAGATCCCACGTTCCTTGTACACCACTCCACCATTCCCTTCTCTGTCCCCAAACTGCCACTTGTCTGCAACTGCACCCAGACCGATTGGTTACCAACTTCATCAAGCTCCTGAGACGGTATGTCAAGTTGTCAACCCAGATTTCAGTAGGTTTGTTGGCTAGGTTTATTTCAGAATGGTTTGTTGCTTTCATCTTGATGCTCAGCTGGTTGATACCTTCATTCGCATTTGCTTCTCATAGAGAAAGATAACAATGTCGGGTTTGGGATTATTCAGCTTCTACTCTGTCACTTTCCTAACTATTTTCGAGACTCCATCTGGCACACAGATTATCTATCAGCAATATCCAGGTATCCATTCTATTCAAACATATTCGAATCCTTAACTGTATGCAATGACAAGAATTACCAATTCAATATCAAAGGGAATACATAAAGGGAAATGGGGAAGATGAAAAGCATAATAACTATTTCAACCCAGGTGGCAGGACAGTTGTGCAGATGGGATGAAGCAAGTTGAACATCCAAGCCATCCAAAGTGCAGACGTCTAGGAAGCAATCCTAGAAAATTACTCCTTGCTTCTCCGAATTCTTGCAACATCTCTATGGGCTCAGAACACAGAGATAGGATGGAAATCAGAGGAGGGTGCTGTTCTGGTCGTTAGAGTACTGGCAGGGAAGCAGCGAAGGTGCCTTCCAAGTGCAAGAACAAAGCCTTGTTCCTCGAAGATTCTGAGCAAGCGAGCAGGTGAGAAGGCCACACAACAAGTATTGCCTTGAACTTACAAGAAAAGTTACTTTGATGAGTACGCAAAACATATATGAATGACTTCAAGACTCAACAATGAATTCCTTAATCTCTATTCCCGTATGGCGAGCACCTCCTTGTACTCGCAACAAAACTTCGTCATCAAGTTTCAGTGAAGTCACAGGAACTGCAGTCACTAGCTTCGTCTCATTAACTGCAGATAACAATAAAAAGTTGAAATTTTGAAACGGGCTAATTCAAAGGGATCAACTGAAATATGCCTCCAATTAGCTCGAGGTGTTACACGGTAATGACCTGTGCAAGGAGGGGGTATTAAGGCCACTGTTTCTGCATTTTGTAGGAAGATGCTGTAAGTCGCTCCACTCTCCGCCTCTATCTGCAACAGAACAACACCATAGTGATAGAGATAAGAGATCCATTAGTTTTTACACAGTACCAAGAGTAATAGTACTCATATAAACTCGTACAACAAGCAAATATCAACATCTTCATAGTTCATACCTTTGCCTCCACTAAAACAAGAGGCCTGGTCTCTATCTTCACGCGTCCAGTAATTGCAGTACGTGTGCGACCCTTCTGGTCAGCTATGATAACTTCTTTTCCTGCCTTGAGTTCCGAGAGATAACATGTCCTCCCTCCAGGTATACAGACATATGCATGCACTGGACCCTGCACCAACCAACAGCCCCCACAAAATTACGTTTGGACTAAGTTCCTTGAAATTCAAAGACTATACTGCAAAAGGTTGCTATATTCCATTCCCGAATTTATAAACCAAATGGGTATCTGAACAGGAATGAAGGTAAATTAACACAACAGGGTATCTAGAAACACCAGAATGGTTGTCCAAGTATCACCTAGAGAGCATGTAGCAGCAAAAACTCACAGCATTGACACGAAAAGGCCGACTGGCAATGTAATTCGACTCCAAGCATTCTGAATGAACAAGGAATAGCCCTCGGGCAAAGGAGCCAACCTAATGAACAAGAGATCCATAACAACCACAGTAAGTACTACACTAATAGTTTAAGAAACATATCAGAAGATAAGGATCTGGGGACATGCCAGTAGTCCCTCCCCAGGTCTCATTAAGCTGCAGAGGTCCACACAAACACGATCACCCATACCAACTGCTTCAATCCGGGTTATGGTTGCTTTTGATAAACTCAAAAGATTCTGTCCTTCATCTCTTCTGTCTAAGTAGTCCTGGGATGAGATTAAGCAAACATAAGGAGAAATCCCTGACCTTTTAGTAAAACCATAGATCAAACACTCAAAAAGTAATCACCTTCAGCTCGAGTAGAGGTTCAACATCTTCAACATTGAGAACAACCCCACCTAACCCGTGCTCTAGAGCCTAAACAAACACGAAATCGCATAAGCAGTGTAACATTACCAACCCTAAGATGCTTTCAATCACAGTAATGGATGCAGAGTGATACCTCGAGGAAAGTCTGTGCCTCAGAAGCTGATTTGGAGATTGCAAACACAGTTTTCCCACTTCCTTGGAATGCTGCAACCATGTTCTCCGCCGGTATCATCTTATAAAACATTACAATGTCAGGCCCAAGTTAGACTCTTCTTGGAGCCACCAGAAGAAGATTGTAAACCCATTGCCATTACTGATTCTACCTGCCAATCTTTTAAGTCAACGATAACATTATCAGCCTGTGCACTTTCTGGGTTCAGCAGCTGCAACTCTTGCGGGGTGGAAACTTCGAAAACCGTCGCGATTCTCCGCTTTTCGGAATCCAAAACCTCTCCTTCCTTGATAAAGAGCGGGCGAATCAAAGCAATTGCTGCGGAATTAAGAAAACATAACAAATCAATGAAATTATAATCTCAAGCAGTAAGCAGAGTTGTATAACATTGCCGTGAGAGGGTTTACAAGACCATTCGTCGGCGAGAAATCGATGATGGGGGAAGAAGAGGAAGGTGTTCAATCCTCTCTCCACAGCAGCAGTCATGACTTGCTTGCTCTGTGTAAGTATCCACACCTTCTTCGACCTCTCGCTGGACATTTCCGAGACCGAAATTGAGGAAGACGCAGAAGGAGGAGAGGAAGTAGAGGAAGAGGGAACTGCACAATTTGGCCGATAAGAACTTCGCGGGAGAGGATCTGCATTCTTGTGGTTGTTCCAGGAGTCAATTTTGCAGAGTTTCTTCTTCCAGTCCACTGCAAATGCAAGTACATTAAGAGCCGATTGAGAAAAAACAAGGCGCGAAAATTCGCCGGTTAGAGACGGAAAGGGAAATGGAGCTTGCGAACCAGTTTGGGTGGGCGAGGAGGGAAACCGTGGGAGGATGATGGACGCAGAAGAACACATCCAGACCGCCATGGAAATTGCTATTTTTCTTCAGCCTTCAGGTGGCACTGGCATATTCAGAACCGGGCTTCTTCGTTTTAAGACCACAGCTTGGGCTATATTTCAGTATTCTTGGGCTAATTAGTTGGACAACCGGCCCAACGGATCTCTTTCTCAACGAGGGCCCAATGATTCGTGCAGTCCGCATTCTGGTGAGTATTTTAAATTTTAATCAAATAGTAGAGGTTGGATGTAACTAGGGGGATATTCATTTAGTGAGTTAGCGGTTACACTGATAACCGATAGTTCATAATCGTATTTGTAATTGGTTATAAGTTAATGATATACTTATTAGTAGGCTGAAATGAGTTTTGGTGCAATTGATAACCGAATAATCGGTTAAAGGTTTACCGAATATAAAAGTTTATCCCCATAAACGACCATGTTTCTCCTGAAACACTCTCGAACTTCGAACGAACAATCTTCTCACTGCTCCAACCCTCTTCTTCTTCCCCAATGTTCTCCCATTGTGAACCCTTAAATTGAAAGAGACAAAGATCATCCTCGCTTTTTCGATTGAAATGTTGGCATCAAAATTGGATTTGGAAGATCATATGACTTATGCTTGAGGAAATATAGCAAAGACCGCACCACAATTTCTTCCACCCTGTTTGTACTCATCACTCTTCCCGTTCCTCTCTTTGGTTTATTCTCTCAGTAGTCCCAATAAGAACAACAAGTCAAACTCAAACCAATGATAAAAAAATAATACAAAAAGAACACTTACATATTTAAGAAAATATCTGAAAAAAATTCACAATTGAAAAAAAGAGAGGAAAGTCTTTTGTTGGTTCGGTTATAAATCAGTTATTTTGGTCACCTACTAAACAATTAGTTGGTTAATCGACATAATAACTTACAACCGACTATAAAGTTATGACTAACCACTTATATTAGCCAATAACCGAATAAATAGTTACGAGTATAATCGAACTGAGTAATAGCCGACAATCCTCATCAAAATGGATGGAATTTAATCGAGTCAATTTCATTAACAAAATTTCGTTTGGTAGAATAGAGAGCAACCTTACTTCTTTGAAAGGGATATTGAGTTGAACAAATTTGTGGTCGCAGAATCAAATTGAAAAATCTACCGATTTAAAATTCTAAAATTTGTTCATTTAAAAGGTTCATTGTGCTCACTAGCTTTGCTCAATGAAATTTAGGCACAATTCCATGGTCGATTCATCCCACCTCATAGACAAATAGGACAACAATAGTCCACAGAATTCCAGCTCATTCTACAACTGAGCACAACCACAACAAAAAAACCAAACCAGAATTTCAACCAACTACACCAATCTACGAAGTGAAAAACCTCAGCAGCATCTGGTGATCATAAGGCTTGGAAGGAGTAAGAATGGTGGAAGGAAAATTGGGATGATTCACAGCATCAGGATACCCCTGAGTCTCCAAACACAGAGCTCCACTCTTCTTATACACCACCCCGCCTTTCCCTTTCGTCTCCCCAAGCGACCCGCTAGTGTACAGCTGCACCGCCGGCTGGTTCGTGAACAGCTCCATCACCCTCCCTGACTTCCGGTCATGAACAACCGCCGCCTTCCTCAGCCCTCTCTTGTTCCCCCGCCGGATTATCTCCTTGTCGTCCAGCACATAATTGATGTCGTAACCCTTTTGCAGCTGACCGATTCTGCTCCCCACGGAGTTGGATTTCAGGAAGTCGTAGGGAGTCCCCACGACGGAGACGACTTTCCCCGTGGGGATGAGCTCGCCGTCGGTCGGGGTGTAGCGGGAGGCGTAGATCTCGAGCTCTTGGGAGAGGATGTCGCCGCTGTCGTGGCCGCCGAGGTTCCAGTAAGCGTGGTTGGCCAGGTTGACCGGGGTCGCCTTGTTGAGTGCTCTGGCTTTCATCTTGATGCTCAGCTGGTTGTAGGCTAGGAGAGTGTACTTCACCACCGCCACCACGTCGCCAGGGAACCCTATTGATCACATGATCACATTTCGGATTAAAACATGTCGCGGTGATATTATAGGTTAAAGAATCAGCTTGTCCTAATTAATAACTTGTACCTTGTTCGCCATTGGGGCTGAGGTATTGGAAGACAATGTAAGGCTCGACGTCGTTGGGCTTGTAGTCGGTGACTTTCCAGATGACCTTGGAGAAGCCCAATGGGCCGCCGTGAAGGGTGTTCTTGCCGTCGTTGGGGATCAATTTGTAGAGGGTGCCGTTGAGAGTGAACTGAGCGCCGGCGATTCTGTTGGCGACTCTGCCCACCGTGGCTCCGAAGCTGTTGGTGTCATTCTGAGACAAAAAAGGCGATGACTTGATCTCATCAGATAACTATAAAACCTACCTATACGGGTTCGTTTGCTTGATAGATTTAAAAAGTGAGGGTTTTGGCTCAAAAAAATCTTTGGATTTATGAGAGATTTGTATCATCATGGATTTGAAGAGTCTATTGTTTGTATGATAGATTTGATGATATAATTATGATGGATTTGCTATAAATAGAATTAGCCATCAAGGATTTACAAATCCCACCCTAATATGTGGGATTTGCAAGTCTGTGGGATCTACAAATATGAATCCAAAAAAGGGGACAAATCCGTGGATCCCACGGATTTAACACCTGACAACAAACAATGTACTTGGCTAAAATCCATCATGCTTGGGATTTGAGTCCCAAATTCATCAAGCAAACGACTCCTCAAGAGGATATGATCAATCGTAGTTGTTGGGAGATATTTTGGTGCTCCACTCACGCACATGACAATATAGTCAATTGGGCCATTCTTTCATCAAAGAGAAAAGTAGACCGAACGACCCCATAGTCCCCAAACCACATCCACCAGTCCAATGCATGTGCTTGGAATTATAGTAACTCGAGTCTCTCTCTAGATTTTCAAAGCCACAAAATGGATCTTAGCCTTAGAAAAGGTGTATGCAATACAAATGCACATCTTTGTTATTGTGGTCATGATTGAGATTAAGCTCGAGATTGTAGCATAAGAAATTTCAAAGGAATGTAAAAGTAAAACCAATTTTGGGAGAATCCGATAAGACCCATCTTTTCTCCACTTTGGAAGAAATGAAAAAAGGTCTCTTTCTGTGCAACAGGACAAAAAAGGGACGTTTTTTTCTCTGCAAAAGATGAGCTGTAAACGTTGCCCCCTGCCGTTGTGTTTCTCATCAGAGAGTGGGAGGAGAGAGAGAAAGAGAGAGTGATGATCATTTACTACTATGATGATATGAATGAAGTTGGTGGATCATGGATTGGAACATGATGCTGAAGAAAATCAAGAACTGAGATTGATCTCTGAACTGAAGGGAAATGGAGCTAGCTAGGATCGATGGATCTCACCTTGTAAGCCTCAGCAGTGTCATATCCAAGAATCACATCATTCAGCTTCCCTGCAGTGAAACCCAGATTCGGAATCAAGCAAAATGCACACAAACTAACTAGGAAAGATGTATACAAGAAGAGATCGAGATCAGATAAGCTGGGTAGCTATTAGCTAACCGTATTTGTCAGGGACAATGAAGGACATCATATGGGCGCCATAGTTGGTGACCTTGAGGGACATCTTCCCTTTCTTGAGCTCATAAGTCCCGATCTTGGTTTCCCCATCACCAGCACCAAAAGCCACTACCAGAAGCGCACTCAAACTCAAACCGAGAAGAAGCAAAGAAGAACTGTATTTGGCCATGGTCACCACTCTGTTTTTGCTTCTAGGCAGATCTCTCTTCTCCTCTGTTTTGTTCTCTGCAGCTTCCTGATCTGCACTTTATATAATGGGGGCAAGATGAGAAGACAATTCCAAGTGAAGTGACGGTGGAATTGAGAGGAAAGGAAATATACAAGGAAGGAAGACGGCCGAGGATTTAATGGATTGGTTTATTTTATTGAACGTGTATTGGGAGCAAGCTAGCAATGCTCTGTTTTTCTTACCAGAAGATGCGGCAGGCTGGATGGGTTTAGTTCCCATTCACGACACCGAGAGAGATCTTTATGGGGAGTTTGTATTGACTTGGTGAATGATTTGCGTGCACTGAATAAATGAGATAAGGAAAGGAAGAATGGGAAAAGATGCTAAGCTCTAAAATATGTGATTACACCTCACTTGGATGTTCTCCTTCTACGACTTGTCCAGTTTGGAAATGCCTGCAAAAATCCAATATACTAGTCTCACTTGTCTCTAACCAAAATGAACTAGACTCTTAATACCATTTTGCATATTATGCAAGGTTCAAAAGCGAGACTAGACACTTGGTTAGGCGAGACTAGACACTTGGTTGGTTAGGCGAATCAAAAGGAAAATGCCTAGACAACGACTAAACATGTTAAGCACTAGGTAGAGCCTCAACACTCGCCTTACGCCTAACACTTTTTTGAATCTTGATATTATGTATTTAAAAACAAAGTGCAAAACAACACTATCTCTTAATTATTACAAATAGAACAAGTTTGAAAGAACATTTGGATCATCGAGACGAATGGAGTTCCTTGGGTCTAACGAATGGTATAATCAATGAGAAAAACTTGCCTCTCTAAAAACATTTACCACTCAAACCTCCCAAATCCTCTCATGAAGAACGCAAATGATTGAGTGATATTTGCATGTTGATGATCGATCTCCAAGCTTGAGGTACGTAAGGCCACTGTCGCTTTTGAGTTGAGCTGAAATTTGACTTTTAGTAACTGATATTCCATACAAACCAGACACCCTTGAGCGTGCCAACAAATCTAGTATATCAATCTTGTGATCAAATCCAACAACACATATAATAAACCTTGTCAAATCCTTCGCATTTCAAAATTCAGAATTTCGACCAAAGCTTTCATTTTTCGAATTTCACAGACAAACAGTCCACTAGTCACGAAGATTGAAAGTATTTGATGAACAATATTCATGAATGTCACGAGACCCATCCAATAGAAAAGTATAAAAGAGAAAATGAATGAACAAGATCATAAAGTAGTGATGTGAAATTTGCAACGATTGATATCTACTTGCTTGATTGCTATGGTGCTAGATTCATGGCATATATATTGATTTTTTTTTATCTCTATTTGTTCATTTA